AGAATTTTTATTTGCTTTCAGCGGACAAATACTTTGTAATGCATCCAAAGTAGAATCGAGAGTGTCTTTAATATTTTCGTCGATTACTCCAGTTTTTACCCAAGTAGAAATTTTCATATTAAAAATTAGAAAAAAACTAAAGTCTCAATATTTTTCAAATAATCACTGATCATTAATTAAAATACTACAAAATTTATCATTCATGATATTTAAATCGGATCGTTTATTTAAAGTCGCGAAACACGTCCGTCGCGTCAAATTAGTCAAGCTATGAGATCATTGATGTATATCACGTGATCTATATGATCTATAAAAGCCCTTAATTTTTTTTTTGTAACTGTCAAGGCTGGTTCTCTGAAAGTTGCACTCATCGTTGTGTGTAATCGTAAGAGCTATTTGATTTTTTCGGGAGGTGTGAAGCGTAGTCCGAAAAACAGGATTCTTTCAAGCTTCTTTGAATTGCACCTGTATATAAGGTCTACTGATTTTGGAAGAGAAATCGGTTACGTACCTTCCTTATAACAGTCAAAGAAAGATTGAATTGAACAATGTTCGTAAGATTGACACTTCATGTCAACTTGGGATCTTCAGATTCACTGGCCTTCGAAGTTTGATAGGTCAGTGCATTTTTATGTCGGTAAAAAATAAAATTCCTTTTCATTAATACCAGAACTTTACTTTTTTTTATCCGAGCCAAAACAAAACAATTAGATACGTTCTCCCATTACCATGCAACGGAAGAAAAAAAAATTGCTTAGAAGTGGTTCGGAAATATAAAAATATAATAAGAAAAGTTGAGGTCGTTCTCCTTGTACAAGACCAAGAAAGGTTTATGAATAGATGATAATGATGCAGGTATCATTTAACAATTTCCACCATTAAGTTTTCATTAACTCTGTTCAACTTTCTAGGTGATCTACAATCTCGAAGACTATGAATTAAAATTAGAAAATATATAAGGGAAATAAAGCGCGGATTGGAAATATGGAGACTATAGCATACATTTCGGCCGTTCGCTATATATCGTCAAAAGATTACCTCTTCAACTTAAAGTTGATGCAAAGAGAATATTGGTCGAGTTGATTACGATCAAGGCCTTTGAGGAACTTATTTGCATTACGGAAGGGAAGCTTCATCAAGTGCCCATGGGCTTTTGCTCAGAATTTAGTCCAATGCGAGAGCGCTCTACAAGTTAATAAAAAGAATAGGAAACGTAAGTCAGGGCGAAGCGTTCGGGGAAGATTTCGGTTATATCTACGGTATCGTTACAACAACCTCGGATTGGTATTTTATTCTTTTCGCCTCGGATGGAATACCAAGCACGAGCAAGGATCCTATCAGTATTCGATTTTCAGATTCTGCTTTGAAAGAAGGATCGGAGGAAGAAAAAGATTTGCGTAAAAATGTGAAGCGAGTTATGGAGTCGTCGTTGGCTTGTTAAAGGATAGGTTGGAGTGTGTGGATGAAGAACCGGATAGGAAGAGGGCTAGAATAGAGAAATATCGTTCGCATGTATAATAATAGCATAGTCTTCATGTATCACGAGCAAAGTCCCGATCTTTGTATTTATTTTTGCATGTATTAATAAATTTTTTTCTTGGCAAACTTCGTGAAATAAGTTCACAAAGTGGAATCACTTAATTTTTTATTTTGAATGAAAATATACAGTGTATAAAATTATCTTCGAAAATGTTTATTTTTTTCTTTTAAATAAACTTTTTTAGAAAAAAAAAATATGAAAGGTGAATTTTTATTCTTGATGCGATCTTCGCATCATTATGTCGCATGTCGAATCAATCAATCATGCTTGATTTTGATAATAAATATCCAAGTATATTTAATTTGTAATTAACTAATGCAAGAATTTGCAGAATTTGGAAAATCCGAAATTCAATTATACTATGATTTATTGATCATATTTTTTTTTTTTTTAAGACTGAAATTATAATATTATATCAGAGAAAGAAACTAATTTAAGTAAAAAGGAAAACAAAAAAATCTACTGAGAAAATTTTATCTTATCATAATTGTATCAGTTTCTTTTTTTGAATCGAGTTATTATTCAAGAGTCGTTAAAGAATCGTAATATGTATATCTGTATATTGATATTTTTTTAAATCACATTCCTCTGACTTTCACTTCATTAATACATACTGAGGAAATCATTTCGAATTAGCAAGAAATCCAATTCAATTGGATCCGGAAGAAGTTGTCGAGGAATTGTAATTCCAGGAGATGCATCATGATACAAACAATCTAGAGAAATTTTGATAACGCATTGGCCTTGTTGAATGTTTGTTTGATTTCCATCTTTGTCAAGGGTACCAAATTCAAACTAACAATTAAAACATTACGTTAGAAAAAGCATTGATAAAAAGGAAATTATTTTTGTTTGTGACATTACGTGATTCCGATGTTGGATATCTGATGTTCTTGTTCGTTTGTCTGTGATACAAAAGTGCCACGCCTACAATTAATTGAATTCTTTAGAATAACGCAAACGTTAGAAATACCACATGCACTTAAATATAACTTACCTGCATACGTGTAGGCGGTTCGTCCTCCCCAGAAACTGGATCGATTTTGATTACTATTGCGTCATGAACGCGACTAAAATTACCCAGCCAATATTTTTTAACATTGTCCAGGACATGTTGTTCACTCTCAGAATACGCAACTTCAACGACAAGATTTGGCCAAGGTTCATTCTGAAATCATGAAAATATGAAACCTCTGTGCTGAAGAATTCAAAACAAATATAAAAAAGTTACCTTTCCATTGCTCCCGTTTGGTGATTGCACTGGTGGTTTTGAAGGGCGAAAACATGCATCAGCTTCTTTACCGGAATTGTCGGCACGAGTTCCTTAATAAAGACAAAGATTAATCTAAAATTACAAATATGAGGCCGAGACAGTTGGTGTATAATAGTTACGAGATGCGCCAAGACCTCCGATTTTGGCATCAGTTCGTTTAACAGGATTAAATTTCTCATATATTTCAGAATTGATTGAAGAAATAAAAGTTTCGTGGTGTTTTAATGGCAGTTCATAAATAATGACTTTATGATCTTTTCATTCCCATAAACCATGAACGTTAAATTCGTCGGTGCGACGTTCATACTCGTCCAAAGTCTCGCCCTCGGCGAGTACGTATGGAAGCCTTGTTGTAGTCAACGAAAAATTGGTTTATATGAGTCCATTGCTCATAAAATTTTCAGCCAACATTAGAACAACTTACATGGCCTCTTCCCATTTTGTTTGCGGGTGTATATTACCTTCTTCCCACCATAATCGGCGGAGCTTTGTTAATTATACATCCGGCTTATGAACAACAAAAGTGCTATTGTTACAAATAATAGCTCTTGTTAGCCAAAAAATTAGATGTGAAGTATCAATTGCGATATTTATTTACCTTTGATTCGAGGTAATGGAGATAATGGAGATAATGGAGGTATTTGCACTCTATGATAAATGTACTGTTATTATCCTACCCTCAAATGATTTGAAAAGAAGTTAAAAACACTCACCACTTGACTCCGATCTTTTAAACCTGCTAACGCTAGACGAGCTAGAGTAACCATCATAAAAAAGTTGTCATAATTGGCTTTTTTGCAAGTATGTAGGAAAATATTTATAAGAACAATCAATTGATATATCATTTTTCATACTTATTGTCCGTAATAGTTAATTGACAAGCGGAAGTTAAAATTTTAAAAGTTTAAAAAAAGTTGTCACCCTTTCCATGATACATTAGCATAGGGAGCATAATGGACATTTAACTTATCTGCGATTTTATTGGTTGAATTTTTTTGATGATCATTTTTGAAATATCACATAATTATTAATTTTGATTGGTATAAAATTAATCGTCATAAAAATTATCTAAATAGAAAGGTTAGTTTTATTCTGATCCACCAAAATGCCAAAAAATACTGGAGAAAGAATACCAACCAGAAGAGACAGAACTGGGGTATCAAACCGCCAAGAAGGAAATCTTGGGGCATGAAAGAGGGATATAAAAAATAAAATAAAAAAAAAAAAAATAAATAAATAAAAATGGCATTAGATAGAAATCCAAAGGCTCTCTCTCCTTGCATAGACTGGAAACTTTGCTTGGTTGAGGAGCTTCATTTTTTTTTTGGATTGCGATTAATACTGAGTCCTCGTTGTGCAACCTGGCTACTAGTATTATTTTCTAGTAGCGAGCAAGTACTATGTTTGATTTTCAGTTTAGGTTCGCGTTCTCTGGAAATCGATTTTTAATGTGTAATCTTCTAAATGTGTGAAAAGTTTACTAATAATCATTAGATGGCTTATTAATCGGATGAGGTTAAGGTCGCAGCTTCTCTTCATTCTTAATTATGCGATACCATCAAATGAACAAAATTAATAAAAAGAATAAAGGAATCTTCTCAACGTGTTCAA